GAACCGTCTGGAAAGAAAAGAAGCATGACAAATTGGGAAAAGGTTTTAAACACATTTCATCCGTCCGATGAAGTTCTAACTTTACTTATATATATATATATATATTAAAGACATTTTTATGTTTAACGTTCTTTTTTATAGATACAAATATTTAAGTAAATGCCATTTTTATAATAAACAGTATTAAATTTACCAGCCTGAATGTCCGAGAAATTTTCATAGAAAATATTCGTCCTTTGACAGGATTCGAAAAATCCTATACGGAACCGTCATTTATTTTAACGCATTGCCTTACCGATTTTAAAACAAAGGAGCGTTCGGTAGTCAATCGAATTTTTGCTTTATTAAACTTCAATCTTCCATGAATCTTTTACCGGTAAATGTTACAGAACTGTTTATTATAAATATTTACTTAAATACTTGTATCCATAAAAAGATATTTAAATATATAAAAATGTCTTTAATAAATAAATTGTCGGACTTTGTCCATTTCTTAATATATGACGTCATTTGTTTACATCTGATACGCCAGAGCAGTTATGAATGTACGAGATTCATGGAAGATTGACCTTCTTAATCTTAGGAGGTATGTTAATAACCACATTACCCCCGCGTTTGACCATATATTTCCGTCCTTTATGTCTATAAAGATAATGGTGGTTTTGGGGAGGGTAGCATCAGCATAAAGAAAACCCAAGCACGAGAATTTGAAAAATTCCAAATTTTTACCTTGTCTAGAAGAATTTGCCGACACTCTTCTCTGTAATAACACATATGCTTTGGACAGATAGCATAAATGTAAACAACATCCTCCCAAATTTATTTACTCGGGCCTAAAAAATCAGACAACACATTCATAATGTCTTTTTCTTATCGGCGGAGAGTGTATAGGTGGGGAACCATAGTTTGGCTCAATTTTACTGCATCTTTTCTAGTTAATTCGGGATCCCATTCTCCTTGGTTTAATTGATTGATTCGTTTTCTCCGGCTTATCAACCCTTCGCAGGTTATTTAAAGCCAGAAAAGAATTTTAGATTGTAAGAATTTGGAGTGGGGATAATAATGATTTAGTCTTATACGTCTTATTAATTAACCCATAGCAGGTGGAGAAGAGATTGATTCATACCTTTCTCAGGGGTATTTACGCGAAAGTGAACCCTACTGAAATTGGAACTCGCCTCTCCGATTAACAATTCTGAGTCATTATCCATTAAACCTCCCGCACATCCAAGGATACAGAACTTAGTAGTTCCAAGCGGTTACCCATCTAGATACTGATCAGCTTCAATATTTCTTATCTTCGATGATCGTACGGTAACGAGTGTTTCAACGTGAGATGACATTAAGCCGATTCTTCTTGGAAGTCTTTATTCATTTTTAGTTTTAAAACATCATTTTGAACTCGTCTCTTTTTCATTTTTTTGTTAACCATTCAATATACTCTCCTGAGAATTTTAATAATTATTAATATTTTAATAATTATTAATATTTTAATAATTATTAATATTTTAATAATTATTAAAATTTTAAAATTATTAATATTTTAATAATTATTAATATTTTAATAATTATATAAATTTTAATAATTATTAATATTTTAATAATTATTAATATTTGGCCATAATTATATAAATTTTAATAATTATTAATATTTTAATAATTATTAATATTTTAATAATTATTAATATTTTAATAATTATTAATTTTTAATTATAAATCAAATATTTTAATAATTATCCATTTAGTAGTCCTCCAAATCACTATCCTATTATTTATGCAATTAAACGTTTATTTGGGTGAAACTGTTATATATATATATATATATATATATATATATATATATATATATATATATGCATGTTTCATTAAAAAACGACAGACAAGGTACTACAGTTTTTTTATTTAATTACTATTAGGAACATACTAGTAAAAAACAAAAATATATTAACTGCATCCACTTGCAAAAAAAAAGACTAAAAAATAATGGAAGCTCTAATAATAAAAATAAAAAAGCCAACTCTTAACAATATCAACTATGAACAAAGCCACAATGTGCTAACCGTATTCGGAAACTAAAACATCACTACCACACACTGAACATACATAGAACACACACTCTACTAAGCTGATAATTGAACCATCCTTGATAATGGCTAAAAGGTATAGCTGAAAGCGCTCGGAAACACAGAACATTCGGACAGTTCTTTACACACTCTTTGTCCAGAAAAGAAAGCTCTTGTCAGAACACAAGAAAAATTAAATAAAAAGCTCAACTGTAGTACCTTGTCTGTCGTTTTAATGAAACATGCATAAAGGAAGGATTGCTGCCTAAATATATATATATATATATATATATATATATATATATATATATATAAACATATATATATTTAAAAAAGTTTGAACACCCCAGAATTAGTATAATATGAACATGATAGAAGAGTGAAAAAAATTGAAAAAATGCTCTTTTGAAAAAAAGAATGGAATCAAAAACTTATACTTTGAGAAACTTTTTTGCAACGACATTTAAAAGTTTGTGCTGCAGTAATCAAGGCAAATGGAGGATATTTTAACGAGAGCAAAATTTAATCATAAGATTCTTTTTCTTTTTGTCATAATAAAATTTCTAATAAAAAATCATGTCTCAATTTTTTAAACATGTATAATAATTTTCTCTTATTTAAAGTACAAAACAACTGCTTTTGGGATTAATTAAATAAATTCCCAGTAACTTTTATATACCTATTGTCATTATTTAAAAGGCTATTATGCAGATTAAAAGTGTTATCATTGATAATATTCATTATATTAATTCAATCACGTACTTTGTTTCACTAAAATTATATGCAATAAATTCAAATTATATATTTGTAAAATATATTTGTTTCATTAATATTTTTCTTGCGAAACTTCCGGTTGCATTGGTATAAATACAATCAAAATTTTTAGATCCTAATTAGTCCACAAAGACATTTACAAGACGCAGGTTGTACAGATCATATAAAGGATTTAATAAAGTTTTTTATAGGCTTATGTTCTTTTTCCCTATTATTTTTTGTTTAATTGTAATCATGGCTTGTTTAACCAAAATAATACCTCATAAATATAGCCTAGGCTGTGCCAATTAATAATAATCTTACTACTTGTAATAATTACTAATTTTTCCTTGATTTGCCCTACTGAAATTGAGGTGCGTCTTATACACTTGTGCGTCATATATACCGTCAAATATGGTATATAACCTGGAATAAATGGGATTTGTGGATTTGTCACAGGTGGTAGAGCAGAGCAATTATTCCTTATGATGAAAGGGTTTAACCTTTAAGTAAAAATCAGAGATGCTCGTAAAAAAAAAAAAAAAAATGGGTAGATATTTTGGTTAAGAAAAATCTATATATTTTGGGTTCCATCCCAAATCCTAGAATGATTACGATTTGTGAATTTGACTCAGGTGGTAGAGGAGAGGACATTATTAAAAAAAATTATTCCTTATGATGAAAGCGTTTAACATTCAGCTATGATGCTCGTAACAAAATGGACATTTTAATTAGAGATCTTCAATAATGAAGTAGAAAATGAAACAAAGTGAAAAAGTTCTGAATGTTAGATTTTTCTTTTTATGTACGCTAAGCCGACATTTCATGCATGAATGTGGTTGCATAAGTGTTTGTTTTAATGTAAAGTAATAAAAGGGCGAGGGGAAAATATCACTCTTTAAGCAGTCAATCAACCGATTTCTTAGTTGACTTAATCAGTTCATAGACATGAATCAAAATCAGCAACGTTGACGGTGACTGGCGAACGATGCAGTTCAAATAAGATTAGATATAAATGTTTTTAGATCTACCTTTAGGGAAATATATATTTCACCCACACAATGGATCAGAAAAAAACAAATGGGCGTGGAGACAGGACACGACGTAGACAATGGCCTAAAAGTAGATTGTTGACAGAAGAATGAAGCGATATATCTGTCGGGTTTTTTTTCGATAACTAAATATGTATTTTCAGACTGACATGAAGATTGTTAAGTAGAAAATTATGCGTTGTCAGAGAAATGGGAAACAGAAGATGGACAGATAGATAGATGAAAATAGATAGATAGATATGAACAGACTGAGATAGATAGATAGATAGATAGATATGAACAGAATGATAGATAGATAGATAGATAGATAGATAGAATGAATGAATTGTTTCATCCTGAGATAGATATCTATTAGATAGATAGATAGATAGATAGATAGATAGATAGATATTTAGATATGAACAGACTGAGATAGATAGATAGATATGAACAGAATGAGATAGATAGATAGATAGATAGATAGATATGAACAGACTGAGATAGATAGATAATAGATAGATAGATAATAGATAGATATGAACAGACTGAGATAGATAGATAGATATGAACAGAATGAGAAGATAGATAGATAATTTTTTTAAAATTATCAACTCATTCATTATTGGCCATTTAATGCCGAAATTTAATTTTTTCATTATTTTTCATTTATTATAATGCCATCATTTATTTTTACTATAAATATTTATTGTTACCAAAATTTTAATACAAAAATTTATTTGGTATTTATACTATGAAACTTATACTATCAGTCCTTGCTGCCGGATGTGGTTTATCGTCATACCCAGTACTTTAACATCACAAAAAGACAGGTAAAATTTCTACTGCATATGATAGATATATACATACATACAGACTGAGCTAGATAGATAGATAGATAGATAGATAGATAGATAGATAGATAGATAGATAGATAGATAGATATGTACAGAACAAGATGAAGAAAACACTTATAGACAAAAAATGGAGAACTGACACAAAGACGAATTTATTGGAGAGTATTAACTGGTACAAGTTAATAAAACCAACCTTAGTCACTCAAGATGGTCAAATGTTTGAAAAGACTTGGAGAAACAATCAAGGTCAGTAGATCTATAATTTGAAAGACAAATTGCTTACCAGAAAACAATAAAAATTAATTAAAAAAATCTAAAGAGATAGATAGATAGATAGATAGATAGATAGATAGATAGATAGATAGATAGATAGATAGATAGTCCTTAAAAAAAAAAAGAAAGAAAGAAAGAAAGAAAGAAAGAAAGAAAGAAAGAGGAGGGAGACAGAAAGAGAGAGGGAGACAAAAAGAGAGAGGGAGAGAAATATTACCATCACGATCCCTGAAACACTTTAGAGCCGTAGGGGCATCATATGTATTGTCGTAGCTGCAGTAGATGTGTCTTGGGCAAGAGTGTCTAACGGATCTTATTCTCCTTCGACACAGGTTTCCCTACCAAGGCTAAAGTGTCCGAAACTGCCTTATTATTTTCAAGCTGTTGAATTAAGAGACCTTCTTATCCTAGACTGGCTGCCATCAAAGGCAAAGCCGTTTAGTCTTCTTTGATATTTGACCCATAGCGAAGATGGTTTCGGGTCTTTTTTCACAAGGGTTTAGTGAGTTCAATCCTCACTGGGTCCACCATGTTTGTGGTCTTAAGCCATATCTAAAATAAACTTAGTAAATTGGTATATACTTGAAAATGACCGCTTTGATGTCGTATAACGGTTAACAAGCTTGTTTGACTGAGTAGTGAGTTCAGTTCTCACTAAGTGCTCCTAGGTTTTAGCCTTGTGCCACCTCTAAGCTAGACTTATTAATTCCCTATACGCCTGGAAATTGGCGCTTCGACATGGTGTCGTGGTTAGCAAGCTTGTCCCGATGGATAATTATACTGATTAGTGAGTTTGATCCTGTGAGACTATACTTGTGGCCTTGTGCCGCATCTAATATACGCCTGAAGATGTTATAGCTCCAAGTGGTGCAGTGTTTACCTAGTTTGTTTCGCTAGATTATTACGACTGGGGGATGAATTCGATCCTCACTGGGTTCACCGTATTTGCGGCTTTGAGACAGATCTAAGCTACTCTTATTCAACCGATATACGTCTGAAAATGGGCGCATGAAGTTGGTGCAAATTTTAGCAAGCTTGGTTGACTGAGTGATGAGTTCGATCCTCACTAGGTGTCCCGTACTTGCGACTTTGTGCCACATTTATGCCACGCCTAGAAAATCAGGTCGTTTTGACGTGGGGTAATTATTGGCAAGCTTCTTTCAACAAACCAATGACTACTGAATAGCGAGTTCGATCCTCTCTACGTGCTCAGTGTTTGCAGCCTTGTGCCATGTCTAAAGTACGCTTAGTAAATCTCTATACGCCTGGAGAAAAGCTCTTCGACGTAGTATAACAATTAGCCAGTTTTTTTTTTTTTCACTATACTAAGTAGTGAGTTTACTTAAGACTGAGTTGTGAGTTCGATCCTCACTAGTTGCTCCAGGCTTTTGGACTTGTGACACATCTACGATGCGTTTAGTAAATTACTATCCATCTATTGATTGCTCAGTGTGAAACCTGACAGCTGCATTGTTGTATTTCTTTGGTGCCATTAATTCGTTTTTGCTGATATAATAGTTCTGTCTTTTTAATTTGAGCACTCTTTTTATACAGTTCCTTTTCATCAGATCGTAATTAATGAAAATAAAATAATAGATAAAAGTGTATATAACGCCATAATACGCCTGGGCACACATTATCAGACAATAGGTTTTAAATGTACATTGTTTAATGAAAACCACACTTAAACTACTGTACTGTATAACATATTACATCAGAATATAGCTAAATTGTTCAGTAAACTTTCCCTTTGAGGTAAATAAAGGTCTTAATTGATGACAAAATGATTTAGTAATAATGTGCCTGTGTCAGTAAATTATAAATTTTATAAGGCTGCCCTATAAAGCTTTCACTGATCACCAGAATGAAATTCAGATCTTACGATTTTAAACCTAAACTTAATCTTTTAAATTCATTTCCTCAAAAAACAATAACGATTTGCAGAAAAAGATTTTGTGTCGTTATTTATGATGTCAAACCCCAACTTTCAAATTGAATGCAATACTTTTTTCTTTCTTTTTATGTACCGTGTCCTTTCAGAATGTAGGCGATCATGGCTCTCCACTACCCCCATCCTTTGTAGCTCTCAATAAGTTTTGTCCCTCTGCCACCTCCCCCAGACTACGTTCTATCATCACTTGCTTAAGCCAGCCAGGTATATCATGTGTTGCTTTCCCTTGTCCCTCTTTCTCTCTATTCGACCTGTGAGTATCAGATTCTCCAGGCCCTCCTTTCTCATTATTGGCCCTCACTAATCATTATAATATTGTTACAATACTTTCTTGTTATCTTAGCAGGAGCTCACTGTCAGTAGTTTCCATTCAAATTAACTCCATAATGGAAAGTTGAATGCTTGTAGAATAGACTAGGCCACAATTAGAAAGCTATTATTGATTCAAAAATTTACTAAAGTGATGGAAGACGTTATATTTCTTCAATTGTGACATCAGTGACGGCATTTGCCCGCTATTGGGAAGGTAATTAAACAAACTCGAGAAAGAAATGCTTAGAGAAAACAATCGAATTCCGAAACGTAAGGGGCGTAAGGCAAGGATGTGTCTTCTCACCGGACCTATTCAACCTATATAGCGAGGTAATTCTCAGAGAACGGGAAAGCCTACCAGGATTCATCATTGGGAGGTGGGGCACAATATTAACGACATAAGATACGCAGATGATACTGTGCTGATAGCAGACGCAAAAAACTACAACCCCCCCTACAGAAGATAACGAGGTAGAACGCGAAGAAGGGACTAAGCGCAAGAGAGAAGGCATAGTCAACAGCAAAAAGACAAGCCCGAAATCCGATTTACAGGCCGGGAACAATAAAATCAAGCAGAGGCGGAAATTTAAATATCTGGGAATTTTTCTAACAGAGAACGGTAAGTGCGACGCTGAGATCCGAAGACGTATTGGAATGGCCAAAGATTCATTCCAAAAGCTAGGCAGAATATTACGAGAGAGGAGGATTTCGTTAGTAACAAAGAAAAGAGTGCTGAACTACTGCGTGATATCTGTCCTCCTTCAGCGAATGTTGGGCGGTCCCCTCAAAGATGAAGAAGAGACTCGAGCTAACGGAGGTATGGTTCTACAGAAGGATGCTAAGGATACCATCGACCGAACATGTAAGCAACGATAAGGTTTTGGAGAGGATGCAAAAAAAAAAATGAAACTCATGCTTAAAATCACTTGAAATTTCTGGGACACGTAATGAGGAAGGAGGGCTTGGAAAATCTGATACTCACAAGGCGAATAGAGGGAAAGAAGGACAAGGGAAAACAACACGTGACATACTTAACAGGCAAGTGGATGCAGAAGAGCGACTGGGAGAAATAACAAAAAGACAAAGCTTATTGAGAGTTACAATGGACAGGAAGAAATGGAGAGCCATGATCGCCTACGCCATGACGGGACACGGTACATAAAAGAAGACAAGACAGTTGTCAAAAGAAATGGAAAGATCTGAAGAAGTTGAAAAAATTCAGAGAAAGAATTTGGCACCGTTGACAAATGTAGAAATCCATTGCTAATGATCTTTGGAGAAAGTTCCGCTCATTCTATCACTTCAGCAAGTATCCGACTCCCACGACAATGCTTTATCTTAGAAAGTGTCAGATCAGATAAGAAAAAATATTGCTTCCCATTCAAGACTTGATAGAGTTCTAAAGGGTTCACGCGTCCTTGAGGGTGAAACCAAGTCACAAGCTGTGGGGAAAATTGTGAAAATGGCCTACCTTGGAAACACCTGCGAATCTGTGCGATGTGCAAACTCCGGTTTGCTCAACGGTAAAAGGAACCAAAATGGCGGCGCCCATGTTTTATGCCATGCGATCTCTGACAGTTAACGCGAAATCTCGTTGTCTCGTCATTCGCATGCAAATCGCGGTCGTTCCTCGGCTGTATAAAGCAGGCGCGTTTTTGTTTCTGTTCACTGGGCTTTTTGTTCGTGAGAAGGTTGGACATGTGACACTGTTACCCTCCTCGCGGGGTTTTTGTTCCTATCTGCTATTATCAGTTGAATGGTTGTGTTACCACCACAAGCTATTTCGGCAATGGACAAGTTCGATCTAAAATTGATCCCAGAATTCGACGGCTTCCCCACGGGCCCGACTGTCATCGAATGGTTTGAGAAGGCCGAACGTGTTTGCAGGGTGTCCAAAATAAAAGAACCTGCACTGGTCATCCCACTGAGACTCACGTGGGGAGCCTACGCCGTATATCAACAACTCGGGGACGATGCTGACCTAGAATATATCAAGTGTGCTCTATATACGGCCTTTGGAATAGACCACTTCATCGCTTGGAAACAGTTCGTCGGACGACGGCTCGAGCCGGGTGAGACGGTGGATGTCTACCTGGCCGATTCGCGAAGGCTGGCGGTGCCGTTTGGCGGAGCAACGGACCGCATACTGGGATGCGCCTTCGTGGCAGGACTTCCCGACGACACCAGTCGGCTCCTGCGAGCGTCTTCAAGATTGGACACACTTGGAATTGACGAATTGCTAGCCAGGGCCCGAAACATCTTGAAAGACACGGAACAGGTCGCAGCAGCCGTGAGAACGCCCGAGACACCGCGGGAGGGCCCAAAGTGCTACAAGTGCGGTGGACCCAACCATTTCTCTAGGGACTGACGGAGCCGAAGTGACGTAGGAGGCGGGAGCAGCCGACGGACACGAGCACGACTACGCTGCTATCGCTGCAAAGAGTTAGGCCATGTAGCACAGGATTGCTCGGGAAACGAGTCCGGGGATAAGGTGCTGTCGCAACCCTTGCCCCCTCTCGGTCAGTAAATGCGGCATTGCCTGTTGTCAACGTGTGCGTTGAGGGTAAACGATGTTCGGCGCTCGTTGACACTGGATGTTCCCGATCGATCGTTAGTGCGGATCGATGCTTGACATGGAGCAGTCAACAAATCGAGATTCGGACGATTGACGGAGTGTCCCGGGCCTGTTGTGGTGTCGGGACTGTATCAATCCTCACAGACGGAGGGAATCATGCCAAGGTCGATGTTTTGATGGCACGTCAAAGGCCCCTCGGTTACGACCTGCTGCTTGGTATTGATGCGATCCGAGCGTTAAGAGGCATGATAATCCCACCAGCCGGAAATGTGGAACTGGGTAAAGGAAGAAAGGTGTGTGCAGCCCTTTGCATTAGTGAGCCGGATTTCGACGTCTCTTTCAATTCCGACGAGAGGGTGTGGACCGCCAGGTTAGTCGACCCGCAGGTGT